TAAAACGTGAAAGGAACAGTGACCATTTAGCCTGTCTGGAAGACAAACGTTTGGCATCCCCTATATATGCCAGATTTTTGTGGTCGGTTATGATCAACAGGGGGTCCTTGGAACCCTCCAAAAGATGTCGCCACTCCTTGAGGGCAAGAATAATGGCCAACAGTTCTCTATTGCCAATATCATAGTTGCGCTCAGCAGGAGACATCTTTCTGGAGAAGTAGCCACAAGGATGCAATGGTGTTCCCTGGCTTTCTCTCTGAGAGAGAACAGCCCCTACCCCTGTCTCGGATGCATCAACCTCCATTATAAAAGGTTTACTGGTGTCAGGATGTTTTAGTATGTCCGCAGAGGCAAATCTTTGTTTAAGAGTCTCAAAAGCATTCACAGCCTCTTTGGACCATACCGTGCTACTAACCCCTTTGCGAGTCATATTTGTGATTGGGGCTATTACAGAAGAAAATCCCTTGATGAATCTTCTGTAATAGTTGGCAAAACCAATAAACCTTTGAATGGCTTTTAAACCAGAGGGTAATGGCCAGTGTAGTACAGCCTCTAGTTTTTTAGGATCCATTTGAAATCCCGATGCAGAGATGTTGTAACCCAAAAAGTGGACTTCAGGCTGGTCAAATATGCACTTTTCTAATTTACAATAAAGTTTATTTTTCAACAACGTCTGCAGAACCTGTTTCACATGGGAGTGGTGAGTTTGAAGATCAGGGGAATACACCAAAATATCGTCCAAATAAACCAAGACAAATGAGTAAATGAATTCCCTGAGTACATCATTTATAAAGTCTTGGAATACGGCCGGGGCGTTGCATAACCCAAATGGCATTACCAGATATTCATAGTGTCCACTACGGGTATTAAATGCCGTCTTCCACTCATGATTCTCTTTAATTCTAACCAAATTGTAAGCGCTCCTAAGGTCAAGCTTAGTAAATACTTTAGCTCCCTGAAGTCTATCGAACAATTCGGAAATGAGTGGAATAGGGTATGCATTTTTTACAGTGATTTTATTAAGTGCCCTGTAGTCTATGCAAGGGCGTAACTCACCACCCTTTTTCTCAACAAAAAAGAATCCTGCACTAGCTGGTGAGGATGACTTTCTTATGTGCCCTTTGCTCAAGGATTCTTTGATGTATTCCTCCATTATTTTACTCTCCTGGGGAGATAAGGCATAAACTGCCCCCTTAGGTGGCATAGCGCCTGGAAACAGGTTAATGGCACAGTCATATGCTCTGTGGGGAGGCAATACATCGGATTGAGCCTTGTTAAACACCTCCTGAAGTTCTCGGTATTGTATGGGAACTCCAGGAGTTTGGGGAGTGGTAGTGGGAAGGTCAATAGTATCCAATCTCTTTAGTACTGGTTTTATACATCTCCCCATACACTCTTTACCCCATTCTAATATCTCCCCATTAGCCCAGTCAATATAGGGATTGTGCTTACTCAGCCACGGAAACCCTAATATGATAGGACATGATGGAGAAGTAATAACCTGAAACGTCATCTCCTCCCTATGGGAGGCCCCAATGGAGATCGTAATAGGGACAGTTTCGTGGGTTATAAGCGGTTGTGTGAGTGGTCTACCATCAATAGCCTCTACAGCTAGCGGCGTAGGTCTCTCCCTGACCGGTATCTCATTACCCCTAATAAACTGGACATCAATAAAATTTCCAGCAGCACCTGAGTCCATTAGGGCACTGCAAGAAAACTTCTTGTTATCAAGGGAAATAGATACCTCAAGGAGGAATCTACTTTTGTTTTTGTTAGAGGACAACTCCATCACACCTAAGATCTGTCCCCTTAAGGTTCTTAGGTGCGGAAGTTTTCCGGACGCACTGGACAATTAGTTATCATATGTCCCTTTCTACCGCAATATAGGCATAACCCCTCCCTTCTCCTATACTGTTTTTCGGCCTCTGACAGTCTAGTGACCCCCAACTGCATAGGTTCGGGTTCGGACTGTACAGGGAGGTTAGACAAAACAGGTTTAGAGAATTGAGGTGCTAGGGACATAGCCGTACGTCTGGTCTTGCTTCTGGTGACTTCTCTGAGTCTTAACCTATTATCAATATGCATGACAAACGTAATAAATTCGTTAAGACTCTTAGGTAATTCTTTAGCGGCTATCTCATCTAGTATAGTCTCTGAGAGACCCTTTTTGAATGCTGAGATTAACCCATTGTTAGTCCAGTCTACCTCGGAAGCTAAGGTACGGAATTCAATAGCATAATCCGAGATAGACCGGTTACCTTGTCTGATGTGCATTAGGGCAGTGGAGGCGTCATCCTCTCTACCCAATGGCTCAAACGTGAGCTTGAATTCGGCAAGGAATTCCTGGTAATTATGAGCTATGCTCCGATTACTCTCCCACAACGGATTAGCCCAGGCAAGGGCCTTGCCCTTTAATTGATTCATTAGATAACCAATTCTTGCTCTGTCCTTGGGGAATGACCCTGGTGAGGCCTCAAAATGGTACTCCACCTGATTAAGAGAACCCCTGCATTCCTGGATATTGCCATCAAACTGTAGGGATGGTGATAAGGAGATGCAAGGAGTCCTATTAACAGTGGGTGGAGGTACACAGGGTAGAGGTGCTATAGGAGGAGACGCTGCAGGCTGCAGATGTTCCGTTCTAGCGAGAAGCGTACTTAAAGCCTGAGTGAATTGATCCATGCGGTGATCATTCTCCTCTAATTTCCTCTCGCAAGCAGCTATGTGCTGACACAGTTCTACAGGATCTATGGCCATGTCGTAATGTCAGGATTACTGTTTGATCCAGCACGTAGAACTGTACAGCACGGATGACAAATAAGTAACGTATTACCGGTCCTTAGAATGGCCGGATTTAACGTACAAAGAATAGTCAAAAATACTAGCCGAGGTCAGGGAACACAGAAAGGGACACAGCGATGAGGAAAGCCAGGAGTCAGGATACCAGAATATAGAGAAGTCAATAAACAAAGCCAAAGTCAAAAACCAGGTAGAAAACTATAAACAGGAACGCGCTCTCAGACAACCACAAGGGAAACCACGACAGGGCACTGAGCAGGCTGAGAACTGGGCCTAAATACCCCTCCTTTAGTTCTGATAGGCTGTAACCGGCCTTTGACCCCAAAGTCAGTTACCAGGTTTCATTTGCATAATTGCTGCTCAGCATTAACCCTTCTGTGGATTAGGTTGCTGCTCGGCACAACTTTTCCTGTGTGGACAGTAAATGTCATTAACCACATTTCTATAAGCGGATGAATATGTGACATTCAGCTGGCAAGTGGTCCCTAATCTCCACGTTCACAATCCGGACCCAGCTCACCAATTAAGTTGAACACAGGCGGTAGGTAGACGAAAAACAGCTCCCTCAGCAACCTGGACAGCTACCATTTGTCCTGTGCACTCCTTATCTCACACCAAGTGTCACTGTATTAGGGTCAGGGTAGCTCCAGTGTCACGTAATCCCTGGGCCAACTGGCCATCTACCAGCACAACTTGCTGGTGGAGTTGGCGGTTGTCCTGGGTGGCTGCTTGCACAGGGTCAGCCTCAAACAGTACTCCGAAATATTTCGCGGAGTTGGCCTCAGCTTCCAAGCAGTGAGCGGCCGGGGTACAGGGTGGGGCAAGTTGGGGGTTGCCCCCTACGAGGGCCTGAGGGGTTCCACAGGGCAACTGCTGTGAACATAACCCCACTCGTAGCAACAATGGCATCGGATCTTGGCCCTGTTGAGACCTGGTTGGTCCCTGATAACAAGTGGAGCCTGGGGGAACCGGAGACCAGCACTCTGGGCCAGGAGATGGTCTTACAGTAGTCAGTTCCATCCACCTAGCATCCGTGTACTCGTCTGCCAGGCGGGCAGCTTCAGGCAAGGTGAGTGGTCGCCGGTCACGGACCCATTCCCGCAGTTCTGGTTGGAGCAAATTAAAGAAGTGCTCCAGGAGGAACAACTGTAGCATATCCTCTTCCAATACTGCTTGGCATCCGGCGACCCAGTGGAAGGCCATACGGTGTAGGCGACATGCCTACTTGGTGTAAGAGTCCCCCCCTTTCTTTTTAGATTCCCGGAATCGTTGGCGGTATGCCTCGGGGGTAACTGCATACCGGGCTAGTAAGGCTTCCTTAACTGCGTGGTAGTTGTGTGTCTCTTCATCAGGTATAGCCCGGAAGGCTTCAGTGGCTCTAGCTGACAATTTGCCAAATAGAGTGGTGACCAATTCGCCTTTGAGTACTTTGTGCAGCGCACACCGTCTCTCGAAATCTGCAAGATAGCCATCTATTTCTTCCTCTGCTTCTTGAAACTGTTTGGACGCTGTGAAAGGCACATTTGTCCGTTCTACAGAGGGGCTAGAATTTGCCACAACTGGGTTCTCTGTCCGCTGTATTTCAGCCAACTGCAGCTGGCATTCCTGTTTTTCCTGAGCTTTGGCTTCAACAGTGCTGAACACTTGGTTGATAAGGTCCGTGGGAGGATTTGGCCCATGCAACGCCAACCTCAACCGAACAGACCGCAGTGTTTCGTCTTCTCCCATGTTCAGGACAATTGGTTCGGCCATTGCAGCCATTCGGTCTGTTACGATTGCCCCCGGTCTAGCAGGGAGGTTGATCGCTTGGATGTCCTGGTTCCCGAAATCAGAGAGTCGAACGTGGTTCCCTTCGGTAGGAGCTGAAAGTGTAGAATATCCCACTGGTAAAGAGAGCGCTAGTATTCCCGGGTCCCTACAACACGAGTCGAGGCTGCGAGTTGAGAGTCAAAACGAACTGTCTTTACTGGCACACAAGCATGGCAATTTATGTAAGTCCCCAGGTCCAGGGACAGCCCCCCATGGACCTGATGGGATACAGGTACAGTACAAGTATTTAACCAATCATAATACAGTGTATCATTCAAACTTGTACCCGCCCAGCTTGGAGATAATGAGGCCAACGGTTATACAATCTAATTATCTCCAAGCGCCCAAAACGTCCATGCTTTATTATGAACCAGAAAACATATATAGTGCATATAGTTCCTTCTACATATCATTCGGTAGCTCTCCGTTAGATGCATTGGGTGTGCGAATAGCGCTCTGTTCCCACGAACAGAGGACGAGATTTCCACCGTATGAAAAGCTGTTCGGTTGTAGGTTTCCAGGCCCTCGATGGCGGCCATGTTTTTGGGTCCGTCAATGGCCAGCGGGACTTCGACGTTGAATGTATGGAACGAAGGCCGGGTACAGAAGCATGCGAATCCCCGCTACCTGTCTGGTTGTCCCATCCGTTCGTGGTGCGAATAGGGCCCGCCCGGGAGAGGCACTTAACCTGCGGTTAACCACAAACCGCAACGCCTGAGGGCAGGTTGATAAGCGGCACCCTCTGCTCGCAGGGTGGCTGACCGTTCTGCACTTTGCGGGGTGACGGGGTTAAGTGGCAGCACACGCTTAGGGCTGGGTGGTCGGCCGTTCGTACCGACGAAAGGCACTTTATAATCAATTCACATAGTCCGTTCGCCTGGCCTGCAGGCCGTTAAACAGAGTCTCAATAAACAGAAGTGTACATTAACAATATAACCAGTCTGTGGAACGGAGACTGTGTAACACGGTCTAATTCAGTTAATTCGGCAATTAATTCCTGTCGAGGTCGGTTGCTGGCTGTGCGACCACGGCTTCCCAATAAATTATTTAACATTAGTCTTTTCAGCTTGTCATACTGATTCTCCATTCGTTTACCATTTCCTCTGGTGAACAAAGGACCATCCCACCGCTGCCACCAAATCTGGCGGCCACCGAGAGAGAAGAGGGGTTTCCACTGCCAGAGATGTCCTTTCCCCCTAGTGTGAGTAATGCTGTAGTATTCCCAAGAAGAAATCCAAGCGGTAATAAAGCAGGTATAGCTGTTCCCTACAATCACGAGACAAGGCTCTGAGTTGAGGGTGAAGTGGAACTGTTTTAATGAAAGCCATAACTGAGCTTACATGCAAGTCCCCATGAAAGGGGTTTCGGATTACATATTCCAGGGGCATTCCCCAGTGGACCAGAGAGGGGACTACAGTAAAAGTACATACATAATTACATTAACTCTCCGGTCCAGAACATGCATAACAAAAACACCCCAAAATACACACTTAACAAGTAGGTACCCCCTCAAGTCCTATATCCCCGGGTAGCCTGAATCTGAGCACCCAACATATCCAGAAAGCACTCAGATCCCACGAACGCAGCAGAAACGCCACCGGGGTATAGTTTAAACCGAACCGAACACAAGGCCCCTGCCCAAAGGAGTTCCATAGATTCAAGCTGAGCGGTCGGTCTCTTTCAGGAGTACAAAACACAATAAAATAACTAAAGTAACCGTTCATAAATGAGTTTGTCGTGTGCCCCTCGTTTGTGAGTTTGTTTCTACCAAACGTCACTTTTCTTAGTCGAATAGAACCGAACATCCATGGGGTTGCAAGTCCCAGCGGTGTTCGCACCCTCAAGGGCCCAATTTAAGTTCCATACACTCGATGACCAAACACCGCTGTATGCGAAACCAAGATGGCCGCTGCCTTGTGTTAGTCTATACGAACGGCAGCCACCCAGTCTACCGCTTAGAATGTTGATAATTGCGGTTTGCGAAAGTGTGAAGGAGGTCAGGCAGGTCAATGAGCGGCACACAACTGTTGTGGGTGGTCTGTCCATTCGGTACAGTGTTCGGTATACGAACCAAATGGGTCAATCTGTTTGGTGATGTTCGTATACCGGACCAGTCAATATAAAACAATAATTCAGGGACGGGGGATCACAGGCAGTATGGGGATAGATAGGGAGGTAGTTGGACAAGGAGTTTGAGTCAATATTTAGCTTTTTTATAGTTGCAAGCATGAAGGCTGCAAGAAATACACCTCAGGTTAAATATTTTAATGAGAGGCAGAGCAAGAGATGGAGACACAGTGCAAATGAAATGTGAGGGAATGAAATGAGGGGAGAAGTGGTGGGTAGGAAGAAGCAAAGCAGAACAGAAATCTTCTTGTGTAGTGGATGTGAATGAGATAAAAAAAAAAAAAAAAAGGAGGTAGTGGGGTGGGGAGATATTGGTTGGGGTAGGAGACTCTTACTCCCCATGTCCTCCATGCAACCACTCCCTATGTTCTCCATACCCACTTACATTTCCCATACTCTTACCCCTTATGTCCTCAATACTCATTGTAAACAAAGTCTCTTTGCCTATGGAGGGACTTTAAGGCCTCCTGCACAGAGACTATGGGCACAGTCCCAGGAGCTTTCAAAGAAAAGGGCTATAAAATCAATGTCAGGAAAGGATATGGGGGCCCCAGGTGCTCACTCTACCTCCTAGGTGGAGTTAGGGCACTTTTGGTATCACCTGTACCATGATTCAATTAATCTGATCAAGTGTTGCTTGGTACCCTGATCGCCAATTGCGGTGCTAGTATATGTCGGTAAGGTAAGGAGGCATCTGGGATATCTAGGATTTGGGTACTTTCCGTTGGGCCTCAGGACACCTCCTAGAAGGAACAGAGCCAGCCAGCCACATGCCTGGAACTGACTGGGTAGACATAGCAGGTCTACCTCTATAGCTGGGACTAACATGATTAAGACCCGAAGATGGATGGATGGGATGGGATAGGATGGAGGGAGAGAAAGAGAGAGATGTGATCAATAAACGTGTTCATTTTATCCCCTGAAGATAGTCTCGGCTAATTGATCATTGCCTTTCTACATGGGAGAAGGTATACAGAGAAAGGTCTATAACCATGGTAGTCCTTCCAGCAAAAGACAGGTCCTAGAGATCCTGGATCTAGCTTTGATGACTATTTGTGGAGCGCTCCATAATGGCCTGGACTCCTTCGTTACACTCATACTCCCTATATTCTCCTTACTGGCCGAGGTATGGCTCTGTGTTGTTCTGCAGTTTGGTACCTGGGGAGTTGTGGGATACAGTGTTCTTGCTGCTGTGGATGGTTTTGATACCACCCCTCCCAGAGATATTTTATAACACCAGAAATTGTCTTACTTTAAAGATAATGTAAAATGTTTTATTAAAGAATTTGCAGCTATATGTAATAATTTTGTAATATGCAAAATACATGACAATCCTAAATTATATAGAAGCACAAAGAAGATATGGGGTGAGGCCTGCCCCCCCCAATATACTCATAACAATGTCCCCCAATACAAATATAGCCCTGTCCACCCACACACACACACACACCAATATATTTTATACATCATTACTCCGTTTACATATAGAGTAAGGATGTAAGTCCCAGCAAAAACGACATACTCTCACAGCTCTGTCCTGGCACGCTCTGCATACACCCAAAGCTCTGTCCCGGCACACTCCGCCTACACCGCATACACTCACAGCTCTGTCCCATTCAAACACGACATACACTCACAGCTCTGTGGCCGCACAGTCCGCATACACTCACAGCTCTGTGGCCGCACAGTCCGCATACACTCACAGCTCTGTGGGCGCACAGTCAGCATACACTCACAGCTCTGTCGCCACACACTCCACATACACTCACAGCTCTGTCTCCACACACTCCACATACACTCACAGCTCCATCGCCGCACGCTCCACATACACTCACAGCTCCATCGCCGCACGCTCCACATACACTCACAGCTCCGTGGCCGCACGCTCCACATACACTCACAGCTCCGTGGCCGCACGCTCCACATACACTCACAGCTCCGTCGCCACACGCTCCACATACACTCACAGCTCCGTCGCCACACACTCCACATACACTCACAGCTGTCGCCACACACGCCACATACACTCACAGCTCCATCGCCGCACGCTCCACATACACTCACAGCTCCATCGCCGCACGCTCCACATACACTCACAGCTCCATCACAAGACACGCACACCACAGCTCCGTGGCCGCACGCTCCACATACACTCACAGCTCCATCGCCGCACGCTCCACATACACTCACAGCTCTGTGGCCGCACGCTCCACATACACTCACAGCTCTGTGGCCGCACGCTCCACATACACTCACAGCTCCGTTGCCGCACGCTCCACATACACTCACAGCTCCATCGCCGCACGCTCCACATACACGCACAGCTCCATCGCCGCACGCTCCACATACACTCACAGCTCCATCGCCGCACGCTCCACATACACTCACAGCTCCATCGCCGCACGCTCCACATACACTCACAGCTCCATCGCCGCACACTCCACATACACTCACAGCTCCATCGCCGCACGCTCCACATACACTCACAGCTCTGTCGCCACACACTCCACATACACTCACAGCTGTCGCCACACACTCCACATACACTCACAGCTCTGTCACCGCACACTCACTGCTATATTGCAAATTTCCCCACATTATAACTAATCCCATCCAGGCATGTCATTAGCTATTATTCATTATATGACACATTGCTTCTCATTCCCCCTCCATCTAGGTAGGGGCATGCACTTAAACAGTGCAGCCTAGTTTTAGAGCGACTTTTTAATTTGTAGAGAGTCCCTCAGGATTATTAGAAGAGGGTTATATAATGTGGCGGCACCTCGCTGTGGCTAGACAGATAGGACTCTGCCGTCAGTGTGGGTTCTGTCTGCAGTAACAATCACTTAATTTCTGCATCAATAAAATGCATCTTGCCCCATTCACAAAGCTCGCCCTGGGATCATCATACAACATCCATAGCAACATTACCTATCATCTACAGAATGGCTACCATTAGCCCTGACATGAGAGCCCACGGTCACAGCATATCTGGTGATGATTTTATTTTTAAATAAAAACTTATTGTGGTTGAAGAATACGAGAGATCTGTGCACAAACTGCGGCCTCTGGTATAATAATGTCCATGTACTGTATCCTCTGGTTTAGTAGAATACCTGTCCACCTACTGTGGCCTCTGGTATAATAAAAGAAATGTCCACATATGGTGGCCTCTGCTGGGAGACCTGTCCACCTACTGTGGCCTCTGGTATAGTAAGAGGCTTGTCCACCTACTGCGGCCTCTGGTATAATAATGTCCATGTACTGTATCCTCTGGTTTAGTAAAAGATCTGTCCACATATAATGACCCCCGGTATAATAAGAGAAAAGCCCACATATGGTGGCCTCTGGTGTGAGACCTGTCCACCTACTGTGGCTTCTGGTATAATAAGAGGCCTGTCCACCTACTGCAGCCTCTGGTATAGTAAGAGGCCTTTCCACCTACAGTACTACCTGTAAAGTAGCATCCTTTAGCGCCTTTTCCTATGCCATGTCTGGGGGAGGGGGGACATTCTACGCACTGCAAATTACCATCAAGAAAATTTGAGGACATCTTAAACCGAAACAAAAAATAAAATAAAAGTAGTATGTTCCAATAACACGAAGGAACATGCAAGCTTGCATGTTTTACGAAATCCATGGAGTGCTTGTGGGCAGAAAAGTTCATATTTATCAAGCATACCCAAATTTCATCGTTGCCCACTATATGTGTAACCTGGAGTCACACTAGGGAGAATGCTTATGAATTCAGTATGTACTCTGCCAGGGAATGTTTATTGGCCCAGCCAGTGATTCCACCACGGTTCTTTCTTGCTTTAATGTCATTTTAGGTTAGATTAGAACCCACATATTTACAACCACGGGAGGCGAGACCCCAGGACTGAAAACGTCACTACCACTCCATTAAGTAGACAAGGTTGATGGAAATGAAATCTCATGAACAGCTAATTGGTGAAGATATCAGTGTTCTGTGGCTACACTTGGTCTACCCTAGAGCGTACCTCCAGGGTCTGTTTGACAGGACTTGCTCTGTAGGTCAGTTTTATAGGCTTATGGTTGTAGATCGGAGGCCAGCACTGGGGTCAGTTTGGTAAAAGTTTAAATGCAGTCAAGGGTCGTCCTCCATGCTGAAGGTGCTGTGTGGACTGCTGGTTTTGGAGGCACCTGGAGAAACCGAGGAGAGGAGAGGATCTGCTCTGCCCATTGGGGACAAGGCATCATCCATAAGAATGTCTTCAATAGCCGAGTCTCCTGTCAGATTGAGGTGAAAACTTAGGCTACTGTCCACCAAGTCACTCAGTGGGTCAGAGTAGGTGGAATTTCCCAAGTCTAAAGAGGATGGGTTGAGGGGCTGAGAGAGGTTGGTGAAGAAGTCTGACAATGCTTCGGATGTGGACTCTGTCTTAGGAGTGTCTGTGGAGATGGTGGAATGAGGGTTGAGTCCATGCATCTGAGCCTGCATCTCCAACTCCTGCAAATGACATGTAGAGTAAGTGAGAAACACATTTGGAATATCAGTGTCTGTCAGTGTACAGAGCTGTACTCCCGGTTACCTGGATCCGCAGCATCAAACTCTGGTTAACATGCTCCAGTTTGCGCTGTCTGCCTTCCAGCTCACGGACACGCTGTTGTTCTTTTTGCAGTTTTCGGATGTACTCAACAGACGCCTTTAGGATAGTTCCTTTATTCCAGCGAACCTCCCTAAAGGAACAGGAGGAGAGCATACAGACTAGGACTACCAATAACCAGAAAGGAGGACAGAAAGCGGGATGGTAACAGCTACTGGGGACAATTTACTAGGGGATCATAGACATAGAAAGCATAGGTGTCACGTGTGTGCGCAAGATAAAAGGGGGGGAACAGGCATACGAGATAATGAGGGGGTAACAGGCGTGCAAGATAATGGGGGGGGGGTTACAGGTGTGCAAGATAATGGGAAGGTAACAGGCATGTGAGATAAGGGGGTGGGCGGGGGTATCACGCATGTGAGATAATGAGGGGATGAATTTCTACTCACGGGTCACTGGATTTCGGGATTAATGTTCCAAGCTCCTTAATTCTGTCATTAATATTAAATCTTCGCCGACGTTCAACTGCATACAGAAGAGAAGATAGAAACACACATTTTGTTACGTATGAAAGATGGAAATCGTCTGCAATGGCAAGTAGAGCCTCGGAATCACATTGCTTCCTTATTGTAATAATACAGAAACAAAGTATTATTATAGGGAAACGAGGTGGCCTGGATCGGCTCGTCTTGTGAACACAGTAGGTTATAGAACGCCTGTCTCTCTCTTGCAGGCCCAAGCTTGTGCTGGTCAGACCGGTTTGGGTGCGGTTTTTATATACCTGCCCATTTATTGTTCCCAGAATAAATACGCTCTCTGTACTAACTGCGTCTCTGGTTAATTCGATTACTGTATCCCCATTATGTGTAATAGAGAGGGGGAGACTGGCTGCCAGTCTTTCAGGAGACTTCTGTCAGTGGAACTACGTAAAGAGCTCAGCTGGAAAGCCAGTGTTTAGCGCTCTATGTGACACACTCCAGACACTTACAAAGACAACATTGTGCAGGACATCATTTTTAGCTCCCTTCTCTTACAGGAGGAAGACATGAGAATGAGCTAATTGTACCCTGGTGCTGGCCGGGCCGTACTACGTTATAAAGAATACTGCTCCTCCGTTTCCCTCCACTAATGACAGAACCAATGTCTTCTACAAGAATGGAAGCATTTGTTGCAAATAAAAACCTACCAATCAACATGCAAAGGCATTGCCTGGGCTCAGCAGGATTATACAGCAAGCTACAATAAACTCCAGCTATCAGAGAATAATACACAGTGATTTAAATAGTTGCTGGGGACAGGTGACACAATTCAGCTCCGGCTGGGAAATATCAACCATAATTGGGTTTAAGGAGAAGCTGTGGGCCGGAGCTGACGCATTATTTTGTGATGGACTTGATCGAGAAAACATTAAAAATATAGGCAAAAAAAAAAAAGGTGTTTATACATGAAATGTCTGTATGTTCTGCTGATACCAAACTGGGATTGAAGGCAAAATATTAAAAAGAAATCTAAAAAGATAAAATCCAGCCGTGTGAGCTGGGCCATCATTTCCCGTCTTACTGTGGCCGATTTCTATTCTAGATTAAGAGTTAGATCAAGTCCCTAGAGCAAATCCTGCTGGAGCTTGATGGCGGCTTATACACTGCGCTCCCTGCATTCTAATGGGGATGACATGACAGGGAGTGAAGGGGTTAACGTGACGCAAGGCGCCGTGGGATAATCACTATTCCACAAGGAAGTCATGTGTTTCCTTAAACCAAAGCAACAGAACAGACTCAGCTGGTCAAACACAACCAACCAAACAGGGTGCAGGACTCGTCCACACTACAAGCTGGACACGCAGCAGCCTGTTCTTTAACACGCGGCTATAACTTGCTGGAATATTCAGGATACACTGATAATGTTTGGTGACACATACCGTTTGTAAGAATTTCAGGGCTCTTGGCTCAGATCCATTGGCTTGAAGTTTAAATTATAAATCACCCCCATTTTCATCATATTATTCAGGTTCTGCTTACGTCCCCGATTTACTGCCGATTCCATTTTCCCTATTTCCCATCTCCCCATTCATGGTCTCCTCATCCCCTTCCATTCATGGTACTATTCCCATCTTCCGCATTCCACAATTTATGGTCGTTGCCCCTAGTCCTATTCACACTCTTCTCAGCCGATATCATACATTTATGCTCCATTAATGGTCCCCCTGCTCCAGCTACTCCAATCATGGACCCCCTCCCAATCACGTCTTAACATACACTTCCCCTTTCATCTTCTCTACTAGTGGTAACATGCCCCATTCATGATTCCCCTACCCAGTCTCACCAATCATGGACCGCCAAGCCTATGTCCCCAATTAAAGACATTCCCTCCATTCATGGTTCCCCCACTGTATGACCCCCATTCTCTGTCTACTGGACAGACTTCTCCATTCATAGTGTCCCCCACTGTAGCGCTATCACACTCAATCTCTTGGCCCATCTCACCCATTCATGGTGTCCTCCACTGTAGCTCCCCCATTCTCAGTCTGCTGGACAGACTCCTCCCTTTATGGTGTTCCCCACTGAATGTCCCCAATTCTTGGTCTCCTGGCCCATCTCCCCCATTATCGGTCTCCTGGACAGACTCTCCCATTGTATGTCCCCCATTCACAGTCTCCTGCCCTGTCCCTCCCCATTAATTATCCCCTTACTCAGGTTGTGATTGTCTTTCTTCTGTCGCTCCTTGGACAATGTTTTCACTTCGTGATCTGAAAGAGGAAGACATGGATTAGATTATTTTCTGGGCAACTCAGTGATTTGTTGAACTGGTAATGAGCCTCCATTCACCCACCTGGATATTCTTTCTTTATATTGGTCAGGTCAGCTGGGCAGGAATTGCTCACAGTGATCACTGGGGCAGACATTCCAGAAGTGCAATAAACATCAAGAATATTTCCAGGTAGCTGCATGCAAAGTCAGTGGGTTAAATACAGACAAGGTCAAGTGTTTCAGTATTTTTACTGAGTGGTTTTGGCAGAGAAAGGACAACAACATGTAGGCCTCTAGACCACTCTTTCATGTATTCCTGAATTTCAGGGCATTATCACTGGCTTTACGAAGGGCTAGATCACCAGATAGAAAGGCTATTTGCCCCATTACCATGCAAGATGTGCCCAATGTTCATTTAAACTTGTTGTGTGTCCACATTGTTACTGGAATCCATTTAGTGACTTACTGTACTAGGCAGCTGACTTCTGTCCACAAATCCCATCATTTCATCATTAAAGCTGGATTCTAGGCTAATGATTTCATCAATGACATCATCAATCTAAAAGGTTAATGATAAATATAAGCAATAGCAGGAAAGTCCTATTCAATTAACTGGTCTCATCAGAGTGCAGCTACTCACCTCTTTTTCGGAGTTTGAGCCAATTTTGAGCATTGCCAGGGGACTGTTCGGGGCACTGCTTGCTGACGGCATAGCAGGCTGCTCTGGGAGCGGAGATGTGCCAGCATTGTTGGCAGTGCTGGTACCTGGAGCAGAGCCTAGAAGGGGCAGTTTGGCCCCCATGGTTGTGGAGAGATACTGCTTAACTTGCTGGCGCTGGGACTGCTGGATGTGGTACTTGGTTGGGTTTTCCAGGTGGGTTTGTACCTACAATGTAAGATAAACATGTTACAGGTTTATAGAGAGCTTGTGGATAGCCATTAGGAGGTAAGCAATCCTATGCTGCACAGCACTGGTGATTAGCAGCACACTCCATGTCTGAACGTGGCAGACATTTTGTATATAGACCATCCCTAAAACAAGAGTCTAAATATGGAGCGGTCACCAAGGAAATAAATAGAGTATGCCTGCCCTTTGTTCCACGTTTAGCATCTTGCTTCAGAATTGTTCTTCATAGAGTCTCCCTGTAGGTACACGCTGGGGGTACTCGGGGGAGGAGTACCCCTGTATGTACACGCTTGGGGTACTCAGGGGGCGCTCCTGTATGTACTCGGGGGTGGGGGGGGGAAATCTCCTGTATGTACCGTTGTGGGTACTTGGGGGAATCTCCCTGTACGTACACATTGGGGGTACTTGGGGGAATCTCCCTGTATATGCGCGTTGGGGTACTGGGGGAATCTCCTGTATGTCCGTTGTGGGTACTTGATGGGGAGGAAATCTCCCTGTATGTACACCTTGGGGTACTGGGAATCTCCCTGTATGCGTTGGGGGTACTGGGGGAATCTCCTGTATGCAGTTGGGGGTACTGCTCCTGTATGTGGGCTGGGGGGTACTCTCCTGTATGTGACTGGGAATCTCCCTGTAATATGTTTGGGGGTACTGTGGGGAATCTCCCTGTATGTCTGTGGGGGTACTTTCGGTCTCCCTGTATGCAATGTCGGGCAGACATTTTGTATATAGACCATCCCTAAAACAAGAGTCTAAATATGGAGGGAACGACACCCTCGCATGCTAGTGGTACTTTCGGGTCTCCCTGTATATGCATGTTGGGGGTATTTGAGGAGTCTTTTGATGAAAGTAATTTCTGCAGGTAGCTTGCCACGAAACTCACCTTTAGTACCTCTAGTGGCACCTGTGTGGGGCGGGTTACATTGTTAACGCTGATGGCTTGTGTGGCGGGTATAGGATTCCCACGTTCTATCAGGTTGTGAGCTGCCTGTTGCTCCTGCTCTCTGCGCTCCTGTTCCTGAGTCTGAGCCCTCATCAGCTGCTGGCGTTGCAGTACCCGCAATGTCATTGTGCCAGGTGTCTGTAGGGGTGCTAACGGAGTCTCTTTGTTCTGACTATGAAAAAAACCCACATGTGAGTTGGCATAATATGTGCAGGTATATTCTGAGACTGGCATTAAAACCACATATTACTATAACTCTTGGCCTGGGCTTTAATGTGCCACTCTGACCGTGTTTGCTCTAGAATGCCACCTGTCACTGTACATCCTGTGCCACCCTCTGTGACCGCTGTATAATGCCATCCGTCACTGTGCTTCCTGTGCCACCCTCTGTGTCTGCTCTATGCCACCCGTCACTGTACGTCCTGTGCCACCCTGTGTCTGCTCTATAATGCCACCCATCGTTGTACGTCCTGTGCCACCCGCTGATCGTACCTGCTGTATAATGCCACCTGTCACTGTATGTCCTGTGCCACCCTCTGACTGTAACCGCTGTATAATGCCATCCATCACTGTACGTCCTGTGCCACCCTCTGACTGTACCCACTGTATAATGCCACAATTTTTTGTCTAGTACACTCGCCTTGTCGCAATGGGTTGGCTCTTTAACTGGTAGAATTGCTCCTTGTTTGTTTCAAGAGCAGTTTCCACATCAATATCTTCAACAATTCCAGATTCGGGCAGGAGGGGGCTCAAACTGTGTGCGGAGAACAGCGTTAGTATGTTATACCATCCTCTCACCTCCTCCTAATACACAGACATCATGACACATACCTCTCACCTCCTCCTAATACACAGACATCATGACACCTACCTCTCACCTCCTCCTAATACACAGACATCATGACACCTACCTCTCACCTCCTCCTAATACACAGACATCATGACACCTACCTCTCACCTCCTCCTAATACACAGACATCATGACACATACCTCTCACCTCCTCCTAATCCACAGACATCATGACACCTACCTCTCACCTCCTCCTAATACACAGACATCATGACACCTACCTCTCACCTCCTCCTAATACACAGACATCATGACACCTACCTCTCACCTCCTCCTAATACACAGACATCATGACACCTACCTCTCACCTCCTCCTAATACACAGACATCATGACACCTACCTCTCACCTCGTCCTAATACACAGACATCATGACACGTACCTCTCACCTCCTCCTAATACACAGACATCATGACACGTACCTCTCACCTCCTCCTAATACACAGACATCATGACACGTACCTCTCACCTCCTCCTAATACACAGACATCGGGAGGAGGTGAGAGGTATGTGTCCTAATACACAGACATCAATACTACAAGTGCTATGGTATCATCATTTTGCTAGTCTTTATATAAGTTGCTTCCCTCTATGATACAAGGTCGGAATGTATGTGTAAAACACATACAGTGTGTAGGAGTGTATCACAGAGCTCCAGAGTTAATAAAACTCACAGTAATGTGCAGTGTGTATGAGTAATCACAGAGCTCCACAGTAGTAAAGCTAGGAGGTCATTAAAATAATATTTAAATTGCAGGCAATGTATTTTCTTTAAGTAGATCTTCCCCAAGCGAGCTCCTGTCTTGTATATTAATTGTCATTACAACGTGACCCAGCACGGCGGCCATTACTGCATGACCAAGGACCTCTCGGTATGGCAACCATTACTGCGTGACCCAGGACGTCCCAGTACGGCGGCCATTACTGCGTGACCCAGGACGGCGGCCATTACTGCGTGACCCAGGGCCTCTCCCTACGGCAACAATTACTGCGTGACCCAGGGCCTCTCCCTACGGTGGCCATTACTGCATGACCAAGGGCCTCTCCCTACGGTGGCCATTACTGCATGACCAAGGGCCTCTCCCTATGGTGGCCATTACTGCATGACCAAGGGCCTCTCCCTACGGTGGCCATTACTGCATGACCAAGGGCCTCACCCTACGGTGGCCATTACTGCATGACCAAGGGCCTCTCCCTACGGCAGCCATTACTGTGTGACCCAGGGCCTCCCAGCACGGAAACCATTACTGTGTGTAACAATACTCAGTCCCGGGAGCTCTAGTCCTTACAAGAACTTTCCCCGCTGAATCCTCCACACTGGAACAGTGATTAAAGAATAGCCCTTTCCCTTCCCAGTAACCCGACGACACATAGTTCAGGGAGTACAAGCTGGAATATGTTTATTGGCAGCCACAACTGGCCTTATATGCAGGTCCCCATGCAAGGGGCACTCCCACTGGACCTGAGAGTAGACTACAGTAAAAACATACACACGATTACATTGGCTCTCAGGTCCAGGTCATTTACATACAAAACAAGTTAATGCCTCCCCTGTGCCTGGGAGACAATGGAGTTAAGCACTGTATTAAACTCAATTATCTCCAGGCACAAAAAAACAACAACACACCTTTCCCAAACACCCCAAAAGTACCTTAAAAATACATAAAAACCCCTAAAAGTTATCCAAAAATCACCCAGATCGGTTTAGGTGTTTAGGATTTTCCTGTAACTCATAATTTGACCGACCGCACGGTCCTATGTCAAAAATAGTTCCATAGAATTGCGGCTAAGGGCCGCTGGGGACGGATTGGGAACCACGAAGTCTTGATGCCGAAAATAGTTGCCAAACCAGGGGGACTTAAATATGGGTATTTACAGTCGCTGACCTGTCCCATAGTGGGTGGGCAGGAGGCCAGCTTCCACACTCCTCCAGAAGTCTGTGGCAAACGTCTGTGGAAAGTGGCGTTTGTCACATATATTCCCCCTTCTGCGGAGACTAACCAGACCCCAGAACTCCAACCGGTCTGGGTCTGTGTTAGTCTAGTGACCCTTCCCAAAAGGGTCAGCTGTAAAGAGGGCCTCCTGCCACAAGCTTCCGTTTGTAAATCCCAGGTCCTGTTGGGGAGGAAAACTGCTGCACTCCACTCTGTGTAGACCAAGTTGTCGCTGGGGATGAAGGGTGCAATTATCCTCTCTAGGTGAACTCCTGCCGCTGGGAAGTGGGACCAGCTGTCCCCACTCCCAGTAACTTGCACTGCTACTGGGGAAAGAGACCAGTTGTCTCCTCTCCCTGTAAAAAGCCCTGCCACTGGGGAGAGGGACCGGCCGTCTCCTCTCCCTGGGACACACACTGCTGCTGGGAATGGAGGACGATACTCTCCACCTAATGGGTTGCACACTGCTGCTGGGGAGTGAGAACGACCGTCTCCACTCCCTGTATAGTACCCTGCTGCTGAGGAGAGAGGACGATACACTCCTCTCCCTGTTATGCACACTGCCACTGGGGAATGAGACCGACCGTTTCCACTCCCAATAACTCGCCCTGCCGCTGTGGAGTGGGACCAGTTGTCTCCACTCCCTGTGTTGCACACTGCTGCTGGTGAGTGAGACCGACCGTCTCCACTCACTGTAACTCATACTGCTGCTGGGGATGGAGGACAATACTCTCCTCTCCCAGTAAGTCTGTCTGCCGCTGGGGAGAGAGTCTGTTTGTCTCCTTTTCCCTGCATGATACACTGCCGCTGGGGAGAGAGACTGACCATCTCTTCTCCCAATAACACACTGCCACTGGGGAGGAAGGACGTCACAGACTGTCCCCACTCCTAACATCTCCATCTGGGGTTGGAGAGCTGGGCAGGCTGCTCAGCATCCCTGTACGGCCGGTGGATACCGAGGTCCCATCCCCACCTGCCAACTGGGGGTCTTCACGGGACCAGTCGATAAGTTCTCATACTCCCTTGCTATAATCACTCCTAAGCTCTTTTAAGAGCTTGTTCCTGCCTTGCTCTCTGGAGGAGTCTACAGTGGTTATGGTGTCGGCTGGAGTGCTTGGAGCCCTCAGGAAGCGCTAGGAGCATCCTTCAACGGAGGTACCCAGTTGGGGTGCCTGTCAATCGGTTACAGTACCCGGGTCTCCTGATGACAGGCTTAGCTGCTTGGGAGGAGGGACGAAATTCAACACTGCCGGTGGTATACAGCCCATAAGTTACACCTTGGAGCAAGCGAGCATAGAACTGTTAGAGCCCACAGCGGCCAATGACCAGACACCCGCCATGGAGCTCCAAGCATGGCATGACCCACATCGACCAATGACCAGACACCTGCCACGGAGATCCAAGCATGGTGTGACCCACAGCGACCAATGACCAGACACCCGCCACGAACTGCGCAGTTTGCACCTTTCAGGACAGCGTTTCTTGGTCTAGGAGTTGATGCTGATGAGACCCAAACAGTCAAAATTGTGCAGTTTCTGGTCCATACTTTGTTTTGAAAACACTGTTCAACACAGCATCCATTTGCCTGTCTGATCTCATTTGCATGTTGAGTTGGGCATTCTGGGAGAATTGTGGAAACACAATTCCTCTAGGCTTTTCCCAGTGTCCTCCTTGAGATAGACAGGCGATGCACAGCGTTCATTGCAGAATAAATATATTTTATTGTGATTGGTCTCACTCACTACATATTCACCAAGCTTACCTACACATTCTACTCACAGATAGAGATTAGCCCCTCTCAACTGGATCACCAACACATGTCCTCATCCCGGCCAGATCTTGCTACGTGCTCACTCATCTCAGCCGGATCACGCCACGTGCCCCCATTCCAGCCAGATCTCACCACATGCCTCCTATCCCAGCCCGATCCTGCCACGTGCTTCCAATCTCAGCCCAATCCTGCCACGTGCCCCCAGCCAGATTTTGTCACGTGCCTCCAACCCCGCCATGTGCCCACCCATATCTCACCACATTCCAACTCTGATCCCCCCACATGCCCCCATCTCAGCCAGATCCCGCCACGTGTCCCAATCCCAGCCAGATCCTACCATGTACCTACCCATCCCGCTATGTGCCCAAACATCACACACCGATCCTGCCATGTGCCCCCCACCAGATCTCGTCACGTGCCTCAAATCCCACCATGTGCCCACCCATATCTCGCCACATTCCCACTCTGATCACGCCACTTGCCTGCCCATATCTCGCCACATGCCCACTCATCCCAGTTTGATCCCGCCTCGTGCCCACCCAGATCCCATCACGTGCCCCCATCCCAATCAGATCCCGCCACATGCCCCCATCCCAGCCAAATTCTACCATGTACCCACCCATCCTGCTACGTGCCCAAACATCAAACACTGATCCTGTCACGTGCCCCCCATCCCGCCACGTGTTCCCATCCCAGCCAGATCTCGTCACGTGCCCCCATCCCAGGTGGATCGAGTTCCACACTAGAAAATGCATGTAGCCCGTACTTCACTGCCGTGGGAATTACTACAAAATCAGCATATAGAGCAGTGCTGAGTATTAGACCTGCTTTACCTGAGCAGCTGGATGCTGTCAGCACTGGAGTCCACCAGGACATAGACAGTGTGCTGTGTGGGGCTGTGCAATGTGGGGGTCTCACAGCCTATATCATGAGACATCGCAGGGGAGAGTCCTGTCTAGCAGGCTGTCTCTGTCAGTCTCCTGTCTATTTGGGGGTCTGTTTCAACTGATTGGTGTCTTCTTTCCTGTCTTGGCTGGATGGGAGCCTTGATCTGCTGAGTGTCTCTCTCTCCGTCCTGGGAGGCGTTGCACAATGTACCCTGATTGTCCGAGGGTCTCTCTCTACCCTGGCTGGCTGAGGGTGTCTCTCTCTGCACCCTGGCTGGCTGAGGGTGTCTCTCTCTGCACCCTGGCTGGCTGAGGGTGTCTCTCTCTGCACCCTGGCTGGCTGAGGGTGTCTCTCTCTGCACCCTGGCTGGCTGAGGGTGTTTCTCTCTCTGTACCCTGGCTGGCTGAGGGTGTTTCTCTCTCTGTACCCTGGCTGGCTGAGGGTGTTTCTCTCTCTGTACCCTGGCTGGCTGAGGGTCTCTCTCTCTGTACCCTGGCTGGCTGAGGGTCTCTTCTGTACCTCTGCTGGCTGGAGGGTCTTCTGTACCTCTGGCTGGCTTGAGGGTGTCTCTGTACTCCTGGCTGGCTGAGGGTGTTTCTGTACCTCCTGGCTGGCTGAGGGTCTCTGTACCTCAAGGGCTGGAGGGTTCTCTCTGTACTCCTGCTGGCTGAGGGTCTCTGTACCTCCTGGGCTGGCTGAGGTGCTCCTCTGTACTCCTGGCTGGCTGAGGTGTCTCTCTCTGTACCCTGGCTGGCTGAGGGTGTCTCTGTACCCCGGGCTGGCTGGAGGGTCTCTCTGTACCCTGGCTGGCTGGAGGGTCTCTGTACTCCTGGCTGGCTGAGGGTCTCTGTACCCTGGCTGGCTGAGGGTGTCTCTGTGCCTTCTGGCTGGCTGAGGGTCTCTGTACCTCTGGCTGGCTGAGGGTCTCTCTGTACCTCCTGGCTGGCTGAGGTGTCTCTGTACTCCTGGCTGGCTGAGGGTCTCTCTGTACTCCTGGCTGGCTGAGGGTCTCTGTACCTCCTGGCTGGCTGAGGGTCTCTGTACTCCTGGCTGGCTGAGGTCTTCTCTGTACCCTGGCTGGCTGAGGGTGTCTCTCTGTACCCTGGCTGGCTGGAGGGTCTTCTCTCTGTACTTGCTGGCTGAGGGTTCTCTCTGTACCCCTGGGCTGGCTGAGGTCTTCTGTACCCTGGCTGGCTGAGGCTCCTCTCTCTACCCTGGCTGGCTGGAGGGTCTTCTCTGTACCCTGGCTGGCTGAGGGTGTTTCTCTCTCTGTACCCTGGCTGGCTGAGGGTGTTTCTCTCTCTGTACCCTGGCTGGCTGAGGGTCTCTCTCTCTGTACCCTGGCTGGCTGAGGGTCTCTCTCTCTGTACCCTGGCTGGCTGAGGGTGTCTCTCTGTACCCTGGCTGGCTGAGGGTCTCTCTCTCTGTACCCTGGCTGGCTGAGGGTCTCTCTCTGTACCCTGGCTGGCTGAGGGTCTCTCTCTCTGTACCCTGGCTGGCTGAGGGTCTCTCTCTGTACCCTGGCTGGCTGAGGGTCTCTCTCTGTACCCTGGCTGGCTGAGGGTC